TGGCCCATTTGGAAAGATTAAGAGAAGGCAATGAATATTAAAGAATGTGATTAATTTAGCCAGGTGGAAAAATTTATGTAGAGGTAGGTAGTGGGATTGGGGTTGGATAAAATTTGGGGCACATTTCAGATGGAGTCTTCAATATGTACATGGGAAAGAACTTATTGCATATTATGAGCTAAGAAGAAATAAAGCTTCAGGCTTGTAATTTGCAATAGCTACAATCTTCAGGGCAGCTACAGCAAGTGAAAATAACACAATAGAGAGTGATGGGGCTGTGCTCAGCTGGAGGGCACACACTCTCTCTGAGGGAGAACGTCAGTACTCAGCCCCAGTGGACTCATATCTTGGAGAAGATAGAGCTGCTGTTACTATAAGGCTTTTACCACATCTATTGAAAAGTGATCATTTGGTCATGTGAGAAAGGCTACAATACGTGATAGACATGTTTAAATCATTGCTTTAAGAAGTAAAACATGGTTTCAAGGCTATATGTGATAAAGGCCTTGTGGGATATGTTGTTTTACTCTAATTACAATCAATATTATTACTGCATTAAATGTAGTAAGTTTTCCTTTCTTATAATCTCAAATTCTCTCTATAGGAATCAACAGTATTTTTAAAACTTTTATAATTGCAAAAAAATTGGAAAGATACACAAAATTAGAGAGAATAACATAATCTAGGGACTGCTACCCAGCTCCAACAATTATCAACAAATATTATCATTCTTGTTTAATCCATGTCTTCCTTCTTTAAATCCCAAACATTTCATTCCTTTGTCCATAAAAATTTTACTGTTTCTCCAAAAGAGAATTTTCAAAACGTTATTACACTGAAAAATATTGCAATAATTCATTATTATCTAATACCCAGTCTATGTTTAACCTTTCCTGATTATTTCATTAAATGTCTCTTTTTCTTTCAGTCTGTTTGGATCAGGATCCCGACAAGGTTTTAAGTTCATTTGCAAAGCTCTTCTTAAAAATGATTTTGCAACAGACAGAGCTACTTACTTTAAAGAAAATGTGTTGCCTTAACAATAACATATAAAAAGCGGGCCATGATCAATGCTCTTGGTAACACTCTTACTCTTTCAGGCTCTGTTCATTGTTGTTGTGTGACCTTGATTTTAACTTTTGCTTAAATTCCTTCATCTGAATAATAGGAATTAAAAAGTATCTATCTTGTTGAGTCCTTAGTAAGGTTAAATGAAACAAACTAGTATTGGGGGATTTAGAGTAGTGCCTAGTACAAGGCAAGCCTTATGTAAGAGTTTGTTAAATAAATTTTTTTTAAAAAGTAAATTTAGCTTTTACCCATGACATACTAAAAATAAATGAATTGCCTATGGATGGTAGGAATGATTCACCTTTAGCACACAAATTGTCCACAATGAGTGGTTTTAAATTATGCATATATATATATATATATATATATATATATATATTTTTTTTTTTTTTTTTTTTTCCACAGAAGCATGGAGACCACACACACACACAAATACAAGCACAATTTTTGCAACGGAGGCAAGGGTAGAATGCTAGGGGAGTATAGAGAGCATCACCCATGTTCTTTGGAGATCTGACTTTCTGTTGGGTGTGGCCAGTGGGAGGAGATGGAGGTCTAGTTATCCATTACTCTGGTTCCTTCCCTGACAGGCCATGCATTGGCAGTGATGATTCCTCCACTGAAGACCACAGTGCTGATCAGGCAACCTGCTGAAATAGAACGTTCTAGAAACTGCTCTCTCTGTTGTCTCCTTCAGGTCTAGAGGTGGTAAAGTCTCCCCATAATTACTGTCTAGTTTTAGGGGGCTTTCTCTTTTCCCTGTTGTTTTTCCTTAATGATCTCTTCATTAATTTCACCTCAATTACTCATGTGAACATGCCATTTATTTCCTTCTGGAACACTTATTGATACAATGTAATGACATGTCAGATATGAAATATGTCCACATGATGTCCTCATTGATAATAGGGGCATGTCTCCTTTAGGGAGATTTTTCTCTATGCCAGGTACTCTACTACGGGCTTCACAGTCAACATTCACTTAATTCTTACAATAAGTCTGTAGGTTAGAGGCTATCATTTTTACAGATTAGAAAGCTAAGTCTTTGAGAAGGTTGTTGGCCTAGATTGTGCAGTTAGCCAGTAGAGCTAGGCTTCAGAGTCAGGTTAACACAGACTGGTAAGAGCACGGACTCCTGAGTCAGACTGCCTGGATCTAAATTCTGGCCTGCCACCTGTGTGCTCTTGGTCCTAGGCACATTCCTAGTATCTATTTCCATTGATCAATTTTCTCAACTATAAAAGGGATAAAAACAGTTCTAATTCCACAGAGTGGTTATTAGGATAAAACGTATTAATTTATATACCACACTTACCTCCCCTCCCCTCCCCTCCCTCCCCTCCCCTCCCCTCCCCTCCCCTCCCCTCCTCCTCTCCCTCCTTCCCCACCCCTCCTCTCCTTTTCCCTTCCCTTTCCTTTCCTTCACTATGTTGGCCAGGCTGGTCTCAAACTCCTGGCTTCCCCTCCCCTTCCCTCCCCTCTCATCCCCTCCCCTCCCCTCTCCCTCCTTCCCCACCCCTCCTCTCCTTTTCCCTTCCCTTTCCTTTCCTTCACTATGTTGGCCAGGCTGGTCTCAAACTCCTGGTTTCAAGAGATCTACTCACCTTGGCCTCCCAAAGTGCTGGGATTACAGGCCTGAGCCACCATGCCCAGTCATTTTGACCTCTCTTATCAGAGATAAAATACTTTTTTTTTTTTTTGACTGAAAGATCCCTGCCTTCATTTTCAAGTGACTTGTGTGATGTTCTCTATTTTGTGCAGTGGGGTAGTCTGTCATTTAAAAATAAAGCCCTTAAGTTTAAAAAGAGGATAGTTCTGTTTTTATTGTCAGAAAGGCAAGTGTCAACAGCATCACAGGGAAAGTTGTGGAATCTCCCTGTTTGTGTATTGAATGAATTACAACATTGATAACATCTTAAAGACCAGAAGGCTTATGATTTTTTTGTTATATATGTGGAAAAACTTGGGAAATTTGGCTAAGGTTTTGTTGTCGTTCTATTGTAAGTAAAAAGGGGGTTCTTTGTGGACATTACTGCATCTAATATGCAGATAAACTTCTGCTTTGGATGACACATAAAATGATGCTCAAATTCTAGGATTTTTTTTATTGTCCCAGAAAATTAATTTGTACAAACTTGATATATAGCCATAGACTCTATTGTTTGGTTTTTAAAGTAAAAGGAAGCCAGTAAGCTGAATAAATCATGGGATGAGTTGGGTCAAGCAATTCCAGACTGCTACCAACTTCAGAGAAATTTCCTGACCACCTTCTTAGACTTTCCTGATCTGTGATGTCATACTAAAAGAACATTCTGACTATGTAACAACATATTATAAATACATAACCTATAATTTGCATTTTTGGCTCTCAATCCAATATACCAAAATTTATATTTAAAAAAATTAGGTGAGTCCTAAACTCCATATTTCTAGGATTAAAACAATTTTAGTAGATATATCTGCACATTCTGCTTTACCTTTTTTTTTTTTTTTTGTATAAAGGTCAGAACACTGCTAAACAAATAAAGAAAATGCTACTGGTGCTTTACTATTTTAATTTGAATTTTATATGTCTCTTAAACTATAAGTATTCTTAGCAAATAGTTGGCAGTCATAGAAATTAGCATCCTTACCTTTAATCCCTTTTTCTTTCTTTCTTCCTTTCTTTCCCTTTCTCTTTTTTTCTCTCTTTCCTTCCTGCCTGCCTGCCATTGTCACTCAAAACTCAACATATATGGCACCTGTAAAGTTCTGAGAAGGTAAAAACAGATAAGACATGCTGGCTGTCCTCACAATGCTCACAGTCTAGTGGGGGAAGATCTATTGGGAAAACAATAAGCATTGTGATGACTTTGAGGTGCGATGATTGAAACTTCATGGTGAGAACATGAGGAGCCATGGACATATAAATTTTGCCTTCTTAGCAAAGGTAAGGTGTATATAACAGCCAAGTTACAGAGTAGATCTGAGATTGGAAATGCTGAGGGGGAACAGGTTTGGATGAGAAAATTTGAAGTGACTGCAATATATCTAGATGGCAATGCCAGGTAGCTGTTGAAAATGCAGGTTTGGAGTTTAGAAGAAAACACCGACCTGGATATTGGTGAGCCATCAGCATTCAGGCAGAAGTTAAAGCCAATAATGTGGTTGAGATTCCCCAGGGAGAACATTCTACAGGAGTCCAAAAGACAATTGCCTCAACATCCCCAAGAGAAACCATCCTATTTGAGACAGAACGGAAAGGAATCTATGTTTTCTAAATGCATTTTAAATCCTTCCCTGAGAGCCAGTTTTGAAGCATCTCGGCTATAAGGAAGCAAGAGAAAGTACAATGGAGGGGAGAGGAGGAGGGGGGAATAAAACTGATTTGAGTGGTTCGTGCTCTCTAAGTAAGAAAGGAAGCAAGTATTCAGACCTAGAATTCAAAGCCCATTCTGTTTCCCCATGAAAGGCATGGGTCAATGACTCAGGGAGAATTTCTGGATACAGCATATTCTCAGCTGTGAGAGGCAGAATAAGGGGTTTTGTGAATTTAAAGATGGGTTTGGGACTCATCTTGAAGAGTGATTTGTAAATATATAGATTAAGTTTCCCTGTAAAGTTAGGTTGGGAACCAAGGATAAAAGCGTTTACTAAGAATGCTGATGCAAAACTGTCTTGGAAAGGAAAAGAGTGTTATTTAAGCACATAACTATGCCTCCAGGTTTATCTCCTCACGTTATTATAGGTAGTTGTTAAAGAAGGTGTGTAACGGGTAATCAAGTATCTGAGGACAGTAGCTTTGATGAGTTGTCTCTGAGTATGAATCCCCTGATCTCATCACCTGTGGGTCCCTGCTGCCAGCCACTCTAAATCCTTGCAGCAAGGCCCAGCGGACAGCAGGCGTGGGCTGGGATGTAAGCTTCATGAGGAGACCTGTGTGAGTCTCCACATACCTTTCCATACTGACGTACCACCTCTGTGACCTTGGGCCAGTTTTGTAGCATCTCTAAGCTTCAATTCTCAGATCTGTAAAATAAAGACAAAAGTTCTTACCTCCTGAATACTCAACATGGTAATCTAAGTATCATCAGACTGGGGAATTAGCCTTGTTCTAGACCGATTTCTACCTCGTTGAATAATAAGCATTTCATAAATATTTGTTGAATGAGTAAATCTATGTAAAGTATGTAACTGTGTCTAGCATGTAATAGGTGCTTAAGAATTATTTACTTCTTCCAGAAATTAGTCTGGGCACTCACTTTTCCCACCTCCCAAGTTTAGGTAAGTACACTTCTATCTCATCTGCCTATACCTATTACAGATGTGCTCAGCTTCTTAAGGAAATGCCTTTGATACACTTTCTTAGACTTAGACTTCACCCAAAAATCAACAGAGAAAGTATCACAGGATGAAATATCATTGCAAAGCAGTATTTCACAATGCATCAAGTGATTTCCAAAGACTGTTAATGGGAGCTATGTCGGAGTTAAAAACATATCAAATGTCAACTCCAAAAATGTTGAGGGATCACTGCCTTAAACAGGTTTCTTCATTCTGGGACTTTGCAAAGCCATTATTATTCAAATGTAAATTTTGATTCTCCAAGAGGTGAGTAAAATATACAACTTCCCAACCATATTTGATCAGAGGACCCTTTTGTCATAGAGAATATCTCATTTTACTGAGATAACTCTTTGGGAAATGTGGATCTAATCATTAGCTAGAAGAGTAGACACAAGGCAAAAGAATTTATTTTTATAGGGTTGTAAAACATGTTTTAGGTTAGGGAAGGCTTATTTAGGATTGAGATGTGGAGTTCTTCATAACCCAAGACAGTCATTGAAGAAATTTCCTTCCAATGAAGCAGTTAGGTGAGTGAAAACAAATGAACATAAATAAGTATATAATAACACCTTGGGAAAATTAAACATCTCTCCATTTAACATCTGTCACATAGATAATTGTAGCAACTAGATTGATTATGAGAGAAGAATCTGGAAGTTCAAAAGGGAAGCAGCTGAGTTTGCCTATATCACCTGCAAAGGGACTACTTTCTTTGGCAGATTGATATTGCACAAAGGTTTGAAGTTTCATTAAAGACGCAGGTTGGTTGCTGTAACAGTATGTTACAGAATCTGTGTATAATCAGACAATACATTGCATGAGACTATCAGAAAATATAATAGTATTATACATGCATCCTGGATTGTGGTATGCTGTACATGGAATTTTTATACTAGGAAAATATACAACATGTCATATCTGTAACAATAAAAATATGATCAGCACATTAGTTATAAAATGACAGGTTAATTCCTCTCAATCATGATTTAGTTTCAATTGGGATTTTTTCCCTTGTGCAATTTTATAATACTTCAGTGTCTATTATAAGTTTTAAAAGCATAGATGTTTGCATTTTCTGAAAGTCCTGGTTATGTAAAATGGAAGAATTCAAAAACAAAAACAAAACCTGAACTAGGGCAAATAGCACAACAGAATTCTTAAGTTAGCCATGTCAAGCGGGGCATTCACACCTGCAGTTAATACTCTCTTCTTTACATGTAAACTTCCTGTTGAAAGCAGGTCAGAATTAACAGCTGAATCAACTTGGAGAGTTTAAAAAAAAAAAAACAATTAGTTTTATGTTCTTTTCAATAATTGCTTCATTATATTTTGTACATCTGTGCAGGGTTCTGATGATGACTTTTGGTAAATTTCCAAATAGCTATAAAAACAGGGGAATACCAGTTAAGCAATAGTATAATCCACCTGTAGGTTAGAAAGAGGCTTTATATAATAGCTAAAACAAAACAAAACAAAAATTCTTGAAACAAAAGATTTGATTCTGCTCTGTGAGGAAATGATTCTGTTTCAGGTGATGATATCAGATACTGTATTTTTTAAAGAAAATTGTCAGTAGCTCAGAAGAGACCAACAAAAATGATAAAAGGTTTGGAAAATAAGACCTGTGAGAAATGGTTAAGAAAATGGGAATATTCATTCAAGTCAAAGGAGGCTGAGGGGAGATATAACTGTCTACCTAAAAGTTAAATGAGGTTACAAGCAAAAGAGGCATTAATTATTAGTGGTAGCAGAAGAGGGCAGTTAGAAGAAAAGAGCTGCACCCATTTTATTTAATATTAGAACAAATTTTCTACCCAAAAAACATTCATATGATGGAGTTAACTGCCATTATTATTGCTACAGTAATTTGTTATGATCAGAAAGGAAATGTATATCAAAGCATTCATGGATTCATAAATCAATCTATAATAAACAAATGAGCATCACAATTTAGAATTAAAATATTATTGAATATTTAAATCACAAAAGGTTGATGCTTTTAGTGAATAAACACAATTAGTAAATACAAAAATTTTACATTTGGTCTTTGAACTACCTGAAAATAAATTTTTTATAAAGTTATAATTATCAAAGAACCATGAAACTGTCATATGAACTGACAGAAAGGATTGAAGAAACAGAAGATAAAACCTAGAAATGCATTCTTACTTATTATATAGAGTAATATACATTCTTACATTATCATATAGACATCTAGATATGACAAGAAAGTAAGAAAATAAATTACGTTTTAAAATGTGTTAAGAAGAAAGTGAAGGAGAAATTTTGTAGATTAGGCAAAACAATTGATTAATGACTTGTATAAAATTAAGGTAATAGTCACATGTTACACCAAAAGAAAGTCTTGCTGGATTAAAATAATGATTTTCAACAGCTAGTAATAGGAGATCACAAGGGGTGTATATCACAATCTTTTCAATGTTTTGTGAACTACAAATGTTTTTTCCACTCAGAGAGACTGTGATACTTTCTGGGTGTTATAACCCTGTCCTTGGTGAGAAAATTGAAGTTAAAGGGATATAGTGCTTTGCTTAAGAATTAATTGATCAAGTATTTATTTAGGACCCACTATTCACCAGGTATTATGTTAGGCACTATAAATAGATGAAAGGATAAGATCCCTGTTCCAGTGAACCTTAGGGTACATCTGCTGTTTTAGTCAGCTGAGACTGTTATATACTGTAGGGTGAATGACTTAAACAACAAACATTTATTTCTCACAATTCTAGAGGCTGAGAAGTCCAAGATCAGGGTGTCTCCAGATCCTGTGAGAACCTGATTCCTGGTTTGCAGATGGTCATCTTGTCATTGTGTCCTCACACAGTGGAGAGAGAGACAGCAAGCTCTCTTGTGTCTGTTCTAATCCTGTTCATGAGGGCTTCACCCTCATGACCTAATTACCTCCCAAAGGTCCCACTTTTTCATACCATAACATTTGTGATTAGGTGAATTTGGGGGTAGATACAAACATTCATTCCATAGTATCTGCTGTTCTCATCTGCCCAACATCCACACACTCATCTTCTAATAGCAGCACCCTGATTTTCCTTTGGAAAATCATAGTACTCCCAGTCTCAAATGATGGGGTTTAGATAGCGTTTCTTCCACTCCTAAACCCCAGGCAGAAATATGGAATTTTTGCTTGGCTAATGAGTGTTCATTACACAACTGGCTAAAGTGAGTGGTTCAGGAATAAACACCAAAAGCCAGTCTTGGCTCTTAGGTTGGGACTATCGGTTACATGACATCCTTTTGCTTTGGTATTTCTAGGCTAGTAGAAAGTAACCCAGAGTTACTATAGTTCATTTTGCCACTAAATAGTAAAATTTCCCTTAGGATTAATTGAAGAAGTAAAGCAGAAGAAGAAATAAAGAAACAGCATATTCTCATGGTATGATGTGATCTGCTAGATACAGCCTTGCCTGCAGGTAACTATTCCTGAACTTTTAAATTGTGCAAACCAATAAATTTCTTTTTGTTGTTGTTTTTACATTGGACCCCCTTTTTTTTGGTGGTGGAGATCTCTACTCCATGGAACTTACTTTCTGGAGTGAAGAGACAGGCAATCAATAAGCATATTTAAACAGTGAATAGTATCAAATGGCAGAAGGTGATAAGGTTATGGAGGGAAGACTAAAGTAGAGCAGGGCATGATGTGTATGTATATGTGGAGGGGAGCACAATTTTAAAAAATGGGTGGCCAAACTAGGAACTCCTGAGAAGGTGATATCTGGGCAAAGACTTGAAAAGTTTGTGGGACATCTGGAAGAAGAGTATTCAGAATGTCTACATCCTAAGACAGAAGAATCATAAACAGATCTAACTCCTACAAGAGAATCTCAGTCCTACCTTCCTCTCTCAGACAGAATCACATTAATTTCTTTTCAACTGCTATATTTCAATTGATCTAGGACAGTTATTTATCAATAAGGAATGCAAATGCTACTCAAGAATCTCTAGATTTTAGAAGCTGAAATCAAGAGAAAACTCTGTCTAAAATTTGCTGCCTATACATTATTATAAGTATATAATTCTAAATATGTATATGAATGTATAAAAACTTTTATTTTTTCAAAATTCTACTTGTGGATAAAGTTTCCAAATGTGAGCTATTAGTCTTTTGCTTTATTCTTGAAAAGTTAATTTGGTAAGCTAACATTTAAGCCTGTGTACAATGATTCCACAGTCAGAGTTTAGAATATTTTCTAAACAACCACTTAGAACAAACTATACTAAGTAAGGTACTATCAGCCTTAACAGAAGCAGCACTGGCAAACAATTATTTTCATTGCAGCACTGACAATTATGTAAATGTGTCTGGAACAGCAATGGGCACCTAATTATGACATCTAATTATGCCAATTTATTTATATACCTCCTTGAACAACATTTTATTTATAACTCCCTCACTTGTTCAAAGACAAGATAAAGTAAAGAGACATTAACCATAGACAATTGCTTCATCTTTACAACATGAACACAAGCAAATCTATTGGAATCTCACTAATCTAGTTTATGTCCTCTTCATGTGAGTTTGCTTTTCACGCAATCTCCTTTGGATTTCATAAGGTGTGCAGAAATGAATGTGCTCTGGATGAAGAATTAATAGCATTTATTTTCTCTTCCTAACAGAGGGAGCTATCCCATTGCACTTTAACTTCAGCAAAAAATCGACATCGATTACTCCTGCTACTAAGCATGAGAAAATTATTCTACCTCCAACCACAGAGTAACTCAAAAAATACATATAATCACCATATCAGCATTATTTCTTCTAATTTAGATGTGTTTATTTAGGGTCTTTTTTTCTTCCTTCTTTTCTTTCTCTCGCTCACTCTCCTTTAAATTCTTTCTTTAAAAAACAATGGAATTTCTTGGAATTCGATAACATCTTGACTTTGACAGAGAAGTATTATAAGTTATCTCTTGATATGTTATGTTCTCTAGAAGCAGAGCCTAAGATGAGGATTATTGTGCTAGGTGATGTACTGGCAGACTGCTCTCAGACAAGGGGAGTAAATGAAGCACATGGCAAGGGAAAAGTTAAGAAAATGGGTTCAGTTGGAAATTAACCCCAGACTGAACCCGAGGGGAGCTCTGAGTTGTGCTAGAGAGTTGAGCTCACCTTGAGGCAAGGGAGATGGTTTTGGTACCCCAGGATGATTTAGTCATTCACCTATTATTGTATATCTGTGCCAGTAAAAGAGGACATTTCATTCATTTGCATGTGATTCATGCCAGAGACATGACAGAAAGCATAGATATGTTGTCTTTCAGTTCTAAGCCTTTTGATTCTAAATTTGATTCTAAGGTTTGATCTAAATTTGATTCTAAATTTTTGTTCTGAAAAGAAGACAAAAAGTACTTACTTTCTTGTTCCAAAACATTACATTTTCCCTCCATTATTATACTTGACAGACCCTGACTGGCATAAAGGGATTAACCCAGGGCTGAGAGTTACAGCTTGACACTTGTTAAAGTGTGGTCTGAAAGCCAGCATCATCACCTGAAAGCTTATTAGAAATTCAGGTCCCAACTCCAACCCATAGAATCAAAATCTATTTAACACAGGTCTACTGGATATTCATATGTACATTAAAGTTTGAGAGGCACTAAGGTATAAAACCTCATTGAAATAAACTGATAGAAACTCAAAAAGATCCAAAGTGATAGTATCTTGAAAAGATCCAACTTTCAAGTTTTGGATCTTTTCTCTGGAAAGAGTGCAGGACTAGTAGTTAAGAACTGAGCTTATTAAAATCTCCAAAAACAACTGGAATTGAATCATTTTCTGACCAGGGAACAACAATTAAGACAGCCTTGGGTTGGTCTACCTAAATTGCCAAACAACAACAAAAAAAGACACAAATAATCCAGCATTTTTTCATCTCAGTGTTCAAATGTGAAAAAAATCTGTGTAAATGTTTGTCACTTGTCATATGCCTCTTCTGGTTCTGTCTACCAAGTCATCTGAAGGTACTATAAGAAACACTTGATCAGTTTCTACTGAAACCTTAGAAAATCTTACTTTCATGGGTTACAGAAAGCAGGAAACCATATTAAGTTTTGACTGCCAAGGAGGGAAAGAGTGAATCATTTTCATTTGATGGTTGCCAAATCATCAATCATTCTAAATTAATTCTCATTCCCTCTGACACTTGGGAAACACCAGAATGCATTTGAGAAAATGTCCTGAAGAAAATCTGGAATATAGGAGCTTGTGGTTCTTTGTCTTTGTAAGGGCTATCACCTTAAGAATTGAGTATTCCACACCCATTGATGGAGCTTAGGATTGCCAATTGAGTTGGAGTTCTTTAGTGTGTAATATTTGGCAAGATTCATTGGAACTCTGTAGGCCTGAGGGCACTCATATATTCCACACAATTCTTTTCAAAATATTATCAACTTTTTAAAAGATGCAAATATGTGTGAGAGCTATAAATTCTCCTATTTTAAATATCATGCTGTCCCTTTGGGAGAATCTCATGGGCATAGATAATTACTTCTATATGAGGAATAATGAATCACAACATTTTTTGATTCATATCTACACTCTTCTGGCAGGTCGCTGGCATGAATCACATGCAAATGAATGAAATGCTTTCTGAATTTTACTAGCACAGATATACTATACATCATACTCTAAAATATATGTAAGACAGGATAGAATAGAATATTTCTGTCCCAACCATTCTTCCCTCAAAAGGATGCTATAGAATGAACCTGTCTCCCATTTCACCTGAAAAAGTTGTCAAAGAACAGCCTTCCACTGTTCAGCAGCCTAGGACAAGCTCTCTTGGGGATGGAAGTAGAAAATTGGGATTTAAAAATATTTCTATAGTCTCCTTGAGGTTTTAGATAAAATCAAAAGCACTGGTTTACAGTGTAAGGTAACGTGTCTTTTATTCAATCAATAATCATTTATTGTGCCTCTATGAAAAGCCTACTACTTGACTAACTTTCTGGGGATGCCCTCCCAAAATAAAACCTTCTGTGTGGTCTTAATAACATAACAGTTTAATGGGACAACACTCAAACCAATCAAGCAGATCTCTCTAAAATATATGAACAAAGTGCTATTGGTAAATAGAGAAGGTATAACCATCTGCTAAGTTACGGATGGCTACCCAAAAAGGATGGTCTTTTTTTTTTTTTTTTTTGAGATTTAGTCTCATTCTGTCACCCAGGCTGGAGAGCAGTGGCGCGATCTCGGCTCACTGCAACCTCCACCTCCCAGGTTCAAGTGATTCTCCTGGCTTGGCCTCTCAAGTAGCTGAGACTACAGGCACTTGCCACCATGCCTGGCTAATTTTTTTGTATTTTTAGTAGAGATGGGGTTTCACTGTGTTAGCCAGGATGGTCTCAATCTCCTGACCTTGTGATTTGCCCACCTAGGCCTCCCAAAGTGCTGGAATTACAGGCATGAGCCACCATATATGGCCAGGACGGTCTTTAAGAATCAAATTTCTCCAGGAGGATTCTAGACTAAAAACAATACTTCGCTCATAATCACAACAGTAATAGCTAACTAATATTTACATGTGCCAGAACCTGTTCCAATCACTTTACATGTATTCGCTTATTTTAATCCTCCCATTCATATAAAGCATTCCAAATCATTAGATGTATTTAATAAATAAGTAAATTTAGATTTATAGAGATTAATTTTTAAAAATAAATGCATTCATAGTGATAGGGATATGAGGAAGTCGCATTTCCAAGCACAGCATCATGTCAGGTATGATGGAAGCAACTTCAGTACTATCTTAGTCAGGACTTATGCACATGCCTCAATAATACATCCTCCTTCTCAATTTCATTACCTTTAGTTCTGGCCTTTATTATTTCAATCCAATCACTGATTGGAGGGTTCTTTTATATAGACAAAGGGGTTCAAGATTACTTTTACATTCTGAGTCTGGGTCTCTGAATTAGACAGATTTCTAGATTCCACAACCATGTTTCCCTAATAGATATGATACTAAAAAGAAGCCAGTTTGGGGGGAATTATGTGTATTTTTTGTAACTTTGTAGTTGTTATAACTGGAATTACTTTGGGATATCCAGTTGAAGATTTCTCGTAGGTAACTGGTGGTAAATGTGTGGTGTATACTTGGGTATGCACACACACACATACAAATAGATTTGGGGGTTGGAAGTTGAACCACTTATTTAGTTAGCTATTTAGTTGAGAATATTGTTGCAAAATCTGAATGCTTTACATATTGAGTACCCTAAACAAATCACCAAGCATTCGTTGAATGACTGTTTGATTCAAAAAGTTCTACACAATTGATGTAGGCTTTATATCACCACAGCTCTCCTTAATATTTTTTTAAAAAGTTATGGTTGCCCTCTTTTCTAAATCAGAAATGCATCATTGGTGAGTGGTAAAAATTGCTGCTCTTCTCTTCATTCCATTTTTTAT